AATATATATATATATATATATATATATATATATATATATATATATATATATATATATATATATATATATATATATATACACGCGAAAATAAAACATGCGTCTTTTGTTACATGATGAAAATGAATTGATATATACATGCATTATGTATATTTTTGTTTAAAATATCTGTATGTATATTTTCATTTAGTGAGTAAGTTAGTTGGCGTATGATAGCACCACCAAAAGACGTGAACCAAAATATCTTTTTTACAGAATAATATCATCGTTTCAGAGTGTACAAAACAAGAAGCAGCAAACGGTCAGGGATTTTCACTGGATCCGTCAAGTCACCACCACCACCATTACCACTATAATACAACATACTGCACGCACAACAACATTAACAACTGTCAGTATGTGCAGGTGGGGAATGAGAACGTCATGGAGAGAGTTCCCGAGTTCCTGTCTGAGCCACCCAGTGATGCTGAACACCTGGACCTCGATACCAACCCAAGGTGACGAATTTTAAAATAAGTAGCCCGGGAAAAAATGAATAATAACTTGGGTTGAAACTACATCGCTGCTGATGGGGAAGAGGAGAAATTACGGACAAAATCTGATGTCTCAAATTATCAACTACCATAATTTTTGACCAGTTTGCAATATTTGAAATCTCGTGTTCATCGCGTTATTGATGATGTTGTTAAAAGTACAAGTACAGTATAAATTATACTTATTGTGTGTCTTTGATATTAATAAAAGGTGAATAAGAAGTTTACAGTCACAGTCACAAAATCTAGACGACCCATCTTCAAATTCGTCTCAGTTTTTAAATGTACCCTGTAGTGGTGCTATTTCATCTCATCCACCCACCCTAAAACACACTGTCAAAAATTGTACACGTATCTCAGGTGTGGAGATATAACATGTGACATAACGACGAAAGCTCAGTTTTAAGGTAATCCAATGTGTAACTCAATCCCAGTAGCTGTACATGAATGTATATCCCCTTGCTCATCCAAAAATCGGTCATGGGAGTCGCTCTGACTGTCGCAGGTTAGGGTTAGGGTCATTGGCGTCCACAGAAAATTTCCCAGGAGGGTAGATCAAATTCATTGAAGGGGGAGATAATGAATAAAAATGCAGTTCAAAAATTCCAGGGGGGGCAAGTGACCCCATTAACCCCCCCCCCCCCCCCCGTGGACGCCCATGATTAGGGTTGTCACCACGCCCCGCCATGTTCCCTGTTCCTCTTTTACTGCAGTAGAGAGTGGTAAGAGTGTTATTATGATATGTTTTTTTCAAAATATAGCTCATCCTTTCTCAAGTGCAATTTGATATATAGGCGGGGGTGGTCCATTTTCCTCGACACCGGAATATAATTGGAAACGTTTGCAGGCAAGCTGCTACATGGGTCACTGGTATAAATTCATTCCATTTTCTTTTTAAATTCTGTTATTGTCTTTACACAAATTTCATTCGCGGAAATGCTGCAGAGGGGTAAATATTTATTTTTCCAGGATAATTCATATAGAAGTATGTTGGCTGATGAAGAAGGGTGAAAAGTCATTTAACTTAATGGCTAACAGATATGCATTATTATGTATTTAAAATACTAAAAAAAATTCGCTAGATATTTTAACCACTTTCTGGAATGTATATACACATGTACATGTATCTCAGTATGCACAAACACTGAAAATGAACATGTTTGGGTATTTTAAACAGTGAGGGGTTCATATATATATATATAACAAATATTCTTAACATGTGTGATAATGAAAATGTTAGGACGTTATATCGTAATTGATAGGAAAACCCGAAGGATATTTGATATTTGACAGATCCTTACTTGAGGGAAATCGGTTACTCTGAACTTTGAAAAACGTTTATGTTTATGTTATTTTAATCTCATTTAGACGTCAGTGCCAAATGGATAAATGTTTTCCATATGACGTCTTCCATATTTCACATATGCACGTGTACCACATGTGACGTCTTTCATATTACATATATACACGTGTACCACATATATGCATGTGTAACACTAAGAGATTTTAAAGTATCATTATCGTCAAAAAATAGTATGTCATTTTTTTTCTGAAAAAGAAAAACAGTAGGACTAATTATTTTAACCACATTGTAACCATTTGTACCACAATATTCACAAACACGAAAAATAACATGTTTGGAAATTACCCTTACCAAACTTCACTTTTTCTTTACTGCAGCAGGTGGAGCATAGAGCTCATAATTCGTTATTACATTTTATAGAGAAAGGTGTAATTCCCACTCATTGGTGTGTCTAGTTTAGATTAACCTGTATGACATTGCTAGGATCCAACCGGTGTATTGACACATGTAGGGCCTATGTCAGCATATTTCCGTTTTCCAGGTTTCCCCTCTATCATGGAACAGATACTTTATGTTTATATTTCAACATCTATTCAAATAAAATTTCTAATACATTGAAAAAGAGTGAAATAACTAGTTCAAAAACACTGTCTCCTCTACTGTTCCGCTATAGTATGTGAACTGCGAGTACTGCCAATCAAAGCTGCCATTGACGCATACTTATTATACAGCTTTATTACTAAAAATGGAGTATGTTTCCTTTATAGAGGGATCTAAGGTGAAATGGCATGTATTTCAATATATATATATATAAGATTTCTGTAAAAAAAAGAATGCGTTTGACTGTTGGCATTTATACCTGTGCATTGCGTGAGTAATCGTTTCTAATAAACGAAGCTTAAAAAAAAACTTTGTTCTTTCTTTTGACAAAGCTTTTGAAGACAATAAATGTGCTCAATAATTCAGAGTAATTTTGAACTTAATTCAGAATAATATTAAACTAATTTGATTTTTTTCTCATGGTCTTTGGTTTCATCTCAACTTTTCCCGTTCGTTTATAGTTGGGAACTGTTTTGAAATGGTTTTGCATTGTTATTGTGTTACAAAATTCTTCATTTTCTAATTGCATTGTTGTCGTAGTTTGTCATTTCAAATTACGTTTTCAGTCAATAAAAAACCAACACAATTAAGTACCCCAAAAAAGTGACAGTCATTTTACATGATATATTTTAATCATGAAACCTATTTTATGAGGTACGCAAAAAATCATCTGCTTCGCCTTTACGTCTACACTGTAAATAAAATGAAGCAGCGATCTGTTTTTCTTTTACATTCATTTTATTTAAAATAATAATGAAAAAACGCTGATATTATGATATAAACTTCAAAACCTACTTTCATGAATAATGTTGAATGGTATTGGGCGATTTTATCAGCAATTTAGTTTTGTAAAATTTACCGGAAAGAGGCCATCAGCACACATAATCATTCATGAGATAGACAGATGTACAAATGCAGTACGTAAAACATACCTGTATGTTCGCAACGTCACTCAAGGTTTGTAAAGAAAGATAAAATCCTTTAAAAAGTTCCTCCTGAAGTCGAGCATGTCATTACTCCCGAAATAATTTTACGAAACAAACGAATCATTGTTAATATGTGCCTAGTTATTGCCGGCTTAATTAATTAATATGAACGGAAACAAACGAAACGTGAACATGATGAAGGCAAACAAGATGATAGATACTACAAGCCACAAACGCATTCAGTTGCGCGTCGGACGGAAAGCATTTCTGTTTTAGACGATCAAAATTCGAACACAAAACAAACGCAATCAGGAAGGCAGTGACGTTACACAACTAATACAATCTACCTGCCACATCAGTTATTATTTTGTCAGCCTTTATTTTGTATTGTAAGAAATAGGAATGAATCAACACCAATGACAGTAGCTTGTCTAATGCCTTTCCGATCTTCCCATCGCCTTCATCCCCGGGGACAGCGAACACGGCCTCCAGACACCCCAAACTGCACTCAAGAAATTACACGTTGTAAGCCGCGGCCATCAGATATAGCTTACAAATTGGAACAAAGTCAACTTTCTTCACCCTGAATTACATCGTACGGGGGCTACTAGAAGTCTGTCAGGTAAATCATCAACTTGCCTCAGTCAAAAAGATCAGCGACAACAAAAGGTAAGATTCCACTGGCCTCTGAAACTCAGGGTACATGTGCACACAAAGGTAACCCCCATGAGGCCCTTTGCTGTTTATCAAATTAGATTACCTTAAACCTCCATTTCCCATCTATAACGATACTGGAAACGGCAGATTAATGTAGACAATGTACAGGAAGGATAGAGTTGAGTTTCCGCGGACCACTGGCACACAGGGTGATTGTCATGTGACACTTCACTGAGCTCGAATTTGTATCAACTTGCGACTTCTGCTCATTTCTGGTCATTTGGTGCATTTCAGAAAATTGCGAAGAAAAATTTTGATAGAGGGTATTTTGGGGTCAGAACAAGTCACAGGAATGAGAATGCAAATGGGTGAACTGCACTTGCTTGCTTATGTCACCTGGCCACGCGGCGGGAAAATCCTTTAAGTATCCCTCCAATTTATTCTTCCTCTCTCCCTTTACCCCACCCTACAAAGACACGTATGTTTACCCTTTTCTTTATCAAAATGAAACATTTTCCTCCAAAATTAAGTGTTCCAGATTCATTTATAATACAGTCAAAGCTTAGGGGACTTTTTCCTCGTCAAATTCCACAGCAGACGTGCTGTTTTCGAGCAAATATTGATAACACTATCTAGTTAGAGCCTCGAGCTTTGGGAATGACTAACCATGGACATGATAAAGTCATTTAGGTAAACACAGGGGGTGCCTCCAAAACGAGATGTGGTATTTTAAAGCAATACTATAAGGATTTTATCATTTTGCATTCAGCTGTTCAACAAATACACATCACAGTTTGCGACGAAGGTCCAAGCGACAACCAACCTGACATCAGCTGAAATACTTCAACAAATAAGAGCAAAAAGAAAATCCGGTAAGTGCAAATCATATCATTTTAATCTTATTGCACGAGAAGGATGATTATTCATGTAATAATTCTAACATAAAAGGGAATTCATATGCGTTAAGTTGACACAAGTTGGTAACCACTTTCATCAGAACACATTTACATATCTGAATAGGCCTACAAGGCAAACTGTAAGAGAAATATACTGGTAACTGGGGCACCTTCAAACTTTCTAAAGTTGTGAGCACATTACCTGAATAAATGTGTTTTAAATTTAACAAGGATTCAAACTGAGGTCTAGGTTATATATGCCATGGGCGGATCCTGGATTATTTGAAGGGGGGAGGGGGTCCCCCTTTGGCATGGGGCCTGGGTCCCGCTAAAACACCCCGCATTTTTTTTGGTATTTTAGAGGACGAATGGTGCCATTCGGTACATGTACTGTTTAGAAGTATGATTCAGCTAGGCAAAATTCTAATTGCAAGAGGGGAACATCGGTGTGATTTTTTTCCAGAAATCGAAGGGGGGGGGGGGGGGTCTGAAACAGTTACAGAAACCGTTATTCTACTTCACATCAACAGTAATTTCCCCCTCCCCAGTGCTATTCACACTACAAAGCTAACACTCAAGTCCACAGTGAGTGGGTTTTTTTTTCACGTCAAGATCAATGTACCACGCTATAAATAGATGACGCGGCTAGTAACCAATCCGCGACCTTACATGTATGTCATCGGGTCAGGTACGCTGTACATGTATATATATATATATATATATCAATACCGCTGCCTTTAAGTCCAAATTTCTTTAAACTTATGTAATGAGGTCAGGTACAGTGTAAAGATATACCGAAAATGTCATACATGTAACTATAGCCACAAACTTTTCTCTGTTCTATAGTAAAATAATTATTGTAGACTGTGTATTTCCCTTAACGTTCTGTGATATATGTATGCCATATCATTAAACGCCGGAATATTTATCCAGGTTTCACGATTTTACATATCCGATCCTGTATTCTCTCTCGTGAAATACTGTAGCTACTGCAGTTATGTTTACGCACGGAGTACTCAGTAGGTCACGTGGGCCAGCAGTGGTGAATTCTGATTAGTCTATCACCATATAGTGGGAGGAGCGACTGTCAAGATTATTATTAGATATTTTTATGGCTGTCAGCTGCATTTTCAGTAAATTCAATGACAATTAGTAAGCGACTCCAAGAGCTTAACGCCCACTTGGTGTTTGGATTGAATATTATTGATTAATATCGAGTGAAATACAGTAGTTCATCAAATTAGAAGAACATCCTGTAAGTACAGAACATGACATATTTAATCTTATTGTAATGATGAGATGATAATGCTACACAACTGTAGTCATATATATTTCCGTGTGGAGGCAGGGTTCAGGGTTGTGGCGTGTACTCCAATACATTTTTCTCTCCTTTTTTCTAGTGAAATTCTGAGCAATGCTTTCATAGAATATGATTTTTCCGGGGTGGGTGGGGAGGGGGGGGGGGGGGATATTTCTCGAAGAAAAAGGGGGGGGGGTTCTTTTGCTTCAAAATCAATAAGTATCTTTGATAAGATAAAACAGACGTTCAAAGGCTTTACTGTTCACGACAGAAGTTCACAACAAACTATTTGAACCGAAAAGTTGGAACAGGTGAAGTATCGTTATGTTTTAAAAAATATTGGAATATAAACAAAAACCGCTATTTTTGACAATTTCAGTTCTCCTAAAAATAAACAGCTTCCCCCTCCCCAGCACCAGTCGCAGCACAAAATTCGTACTGAAGTTTATAATGCTCAAGATACTGGGGAATTTTTTTACGTCAAGTTCAACGTTTAATGATATGAATAGATAATGCGGCTAGTAACGAATCCGTGACTTGTTGTTGTGACTTATGTCACGAAGTCAGGTGTATCAATACCATTGACCTTGGAACTGAACTTTTTGATTTACTTCGTGAATGATTCAAATAGGACCATTAAGGAGAGAGCAGATAATGCATCTGTCCCATTCTTTCAGATCCATCCATTCCCAAACAGATTGATAAAACGGACAGATTAATTTAATAATAGACGAGCCCGAGGTACTTTATTGGTTTCCACGTGTGGTAATGCACATTTTATTTTATTTTATTCATTTCATTTTTAATATTTTAAGAAATCCGTTGCTCATATATCAGATTGCGATGCACAATTTGAAGATAAAGGGTAGGTTTCGGTAGATACTGCTTCTTTAAACTGAATTTTAACTTTGAAGGCCTGAATTCTTAGGACCATATCCCTTTTATCCTTTCATTCGAGTCTGCGTGCACCTGGCACCTGAATACGCAAGAGATTGTGACGAGCTTGTTAATGCAATGATAATACCAACTTCAAAGCTGACCAAGACTGCCGCGCGTTGTGATCAAATTTTTAACTCTAAAGAGTGTTGGTTGTTCCAGGAATTGCCTGCAGGTTGCAATGTCGAAGTAGTGTCTCAGTTGCCTACCATGTCACCTGAAATTTAATTCCACGTTTTTAAAAACCCAATTGATCATCGTCCCTATTTCTTAAAATATTATTTTAGGATGCTGTAAGCAGCATGATTTCTTTCAATGCACCCAGATCCACACTCTGAGAAACAGTGCCCTCTACCAGGTCCACAGATGAATTTTTTGTTTGATTCACAGATGCCTGTCTTATTCATTACAATTGTAATTCCAGTTGGGTTTTTGCATGAAATTAATTTCATCGGCCATGCTGTTGCTTGTGTTTTAATGTCGCTATATGTACCAGCATATGCAATATGTATTTATAGGGAGGTAAGTTTCCATCCACATCTGAACACAGGCTGTTCAATTTTCTCGGCTCCATCACTGTAGAGAATCCCCATTAGAATGAAAAAAAACTCATTTAGTAATAATGTTCATGTCGTTTCAGATTGACTGTCAGACAGCTCGTTTCAACAACCTTGAATGATCCTTGGGTGCATCTCATTTCCCCTCTTTACTGCCATTCAAGTCGCCTAAGATGGCCGAGTACCAGGATCTCTTGCAACCTCCGATTACGTCATCGCAAGACTCGGCTAATTGTGAGTTAGAAAGGAAATGTCGACTACGACAAAATGAACTCTTTGTTCATTTGAACATAAATATTACGAAGGAAGCGTTAGAGGCTATGAAACAACTTTCAAGGGGAGTTTTTTGTGGGGCGCGTACTATGGAGGATTACAATACATATAAACTGTTGAATGTCTTGGAAGATGGATGCCATATCAGAGTGGGACAATATGAGTTGCTCAAGGAACTGTTAAAAAAATCTGGCGTTGCAAGGTTTGTGGAAGATGTTGAGAAAGCGGAGGATGATATAAGGAAATTATGCCAAAGAGGTTAGTGTTATAAAACATTCACGCCGTGTACTGTTCATTGATTTAAAACTTTCAATTTACACACACACACACACACACACACACACACGTATATACCCACAAAAACCTATAGTATGTTCATTCATCACACAGTTTTGTTATCTGTAAACACTGTTCCAAGTCAAGTGCGTGTATTTGTTGTAAGAGAAATGTGCTGAAGAGCGCAACATGTGTGATTTAAATTGAAAGGAATAAAAAGCAAAAAAAAAAAATAAATAATAATAATAATAAATAAATAAATAAATAAACTAAAGCTTTTTTTGTGTTGATTATCATTTTCCAGAATATTCGCCCCGGCTTTCCAAACAGTGCCCCTCTCTACTCTCATTCTAGGTTATATGAAAAGTTAAAATATCCGGAAGTTCTATATGATGCATTTTAATAAGTGTGATTGATATTATTTTGTTATTTGTAGTCGTTAGACGTATGAGCAACAAATGATACTTTATTTATTTATTTATTATCATTATAGTCAACATTATTTTATTTATAATTATTTCTTCCTTTGAAGCGTTATGTCCCCCTGAGGTATTTGACGGAGATCCCGACCATGTCAAGGCTTTAAAAGAGCATTACGAGAAAATCTGCACAGCACTCCAAAAAGTTTCAACACTTGCTGATGTAACCAAAACTCTCAAACGTCACAAAATCCTAGACGATCAGCACCGAATAGGAACATCTGGTCATAAAGCAGCACAGAAACTGATGAACATTGTCATGAATAAAAGAAACAAGGGTCTAAGAGCAATGAGGGTCTTGGCTTGTGCACTACTGCGTGCAGGTCAAGAGGAGTTGGCATTTAATATACTGACCACACAGTACTCATGGGAAAGAGGAGCAGGCCGTGATGTTTGGATACCTAGGGGTATGAGGAAAATACTAAGTGCATACTTAGAGATAACTGAAAACCTATCTGAACCAGACCTTCATCTTGTACTTGATCATCTTGTCAGCAAACGCATGGTCAGTGAGGATGAAAGAGCTGCCATACTTCAGCAGCCATCCAGAGTGGAGAAAGTCCAGGAGATGCTGGACACTCTACTTTCAGGGGGCAGGGAGGGAGTGAGCTGGTATCTGTATGATGCTTTGCTACTTGTAGAGCAGGATGACATGGCAGACGGCATGTTAAGTAAGTTAACTATGGCATGTTAAGTAAGTTAACAATGGTGCTTCATGCGTAAATATATTCAGTTGTATTGATATGTTTATTGTATGACATATGAGAGTCAGCTATTATAATATTATTAAACCAGGAAAGATTTGCACACCTAGCATATGCTGCGAATTTGACGTATGAAGAGGAACCTTAATTTAGATAAAGGTGTCTAATCATTTAGACGAAAAAACTTATATACATGTAATACCTATGGTTTAAATTCCAATTTAGCCACTGGTCTTCACTTATCTCTCCTAGCTTATTGCATCAACTGAGGAGTTCAATTCTTAGAATTACACAAGACGATGTTCAAAGTGATGCGGCAGAACTGATATGATCGCATGCATTAAGTGCTATATATTATGTGTTATATATTTTTCCTGTAAATACTACATTCAGTTATCTATCAACACTCATTTGAGATGAGTTTTCTAATATTCCAGTCAGTTGGCCCATGTTGGAATGGGAGCTTCTATCCAGATACAGATACGATCAACGTGAACTAATACACGATATCAGCATCAGAAAAGAACCCATTACAATATCCTGGGAGAGAGATCCTCCATCCATCATTTCACAGCCAGCAACTGCCACACGTATGGCAACAGAGGATCGTGTGGTCTCCTGGAAGGTCACTGAATCCAGGCATGGCAGCTTTTTGAAGTCCACTATCTGTGGGCAGTGGGTAAACTCCGGTGCTGAATCTGGACAGAGGGAATGGGGAGGTTACAAGGCAGTCATAGACATAGAAACAGTGGAAGAGATTTTAGGGTAAAGTTGTCTGTGACTTTTAATGATAAAGTTTTGAATTGAGTTCAGCTAGTACTTGCATTATTTAGAAATAATTTGTATATTTATGGTATATTTATAAACATTATTCACTTGGCATATTCACTGGCCAATATATAATATTGCTACTCTCATTTAGATACAAACTATGAAAGATGCCATATATGTCAAGATTCTGTTTTATCCTCCGATGTTTTGTATTTGGCGAAACCCAGCTGTATACGCATAGTATTGTGTCTCCACGACCAAAATTTTAATATTAATTTCGGTAAATGAATGTGAATAATTGTCGTCAACTTTAATTTGATTACATTAGAAGCCATGCAATGAAGCGAGGGCAGACGGTGCAGGAGATCTTGGCCAGCATGCCAGATGTACCCAAGGAAACGCTGTTCATTCTTAACGTGACCCAGCGCCCCGACCTGAAAACCAAGTGGAAGCGCTTGCTCGCAGGGAAAATTTTTCCTGGTGCCAAGGTTCTACTTTTTGAGGGCAGTGACGGTAGGTTGACACGTGTACTGGTGCCGTTTGCGTTCTCTCTAACTCCACAGGTATCTCTCTCTGCTCCTTCCTATCATTAACATTTAAGAACATGCACGTAATGGATAAATGCATATTATCACGGTGATATAATTTTTGTCATGTATTATAATTTTGTGTAATTTGGGACATTTTGCATTTTCTCCGCCTCAATTTAGAGTTTCCAGCCTGCGTAAAAATGTCAAAAGTGCATCTGAAATCTTTTGCAGAAAAAGAAAACAATGATCATGACAAATGAAGGATAACATGAATTGAAAAATAAATAAATTAATAAGAAAATAAATAAAGAGTGAATAATTACTTTCAGACCAGGGGATAAAACGAGGAGGGAAAAAGAGGAAACTTAATGGATGTTCGTGTGAGCTTAATGGGGGTAAGTACACACGTTTGTAAAGATACTGTGTTTTGGGATGTTATGTTCAATATGCAGAATAATTACATGTAGAATGGTTTATTAAATTCTAAAGACATAGCCTACATTGTATGTTTTACCTGTACAACAAAAATGAATCTTTAAAGTTTCAGCATACTTACACACCTTGATTGACTCTATACTAATGATACACGTGAAACACCTCTATATTTGATACATTTAAGTAATATAACGTAAAGGGTCAATTGGGTTTAATATGGAAATTACCCTTTCTTATTTTCAATATACAATAATGGTTACCTACATTATTCCAATTGATCAAATATGTTTTATTTGAATGATGTTTCATAACTTTAAAAAGTATCTACAACTAAAATATTGTAATATTGTAAAGTATTGTAAGTATTATAAACTGTTTGGGTATTTTCAGAAGGAATAGAGGGCCCAGGGCTCAGCGCTGAATTTCTGTCCCGTTTCGTAGACAATGACCTAGGTACTGTCACGTTGTAGTTAGAAAATAAAGAAAAACGATCTGACTGAGGGTAAGAGGACAAAAAACCCTGGCTCCAGTATTGGTCAGTTGGTATTTTCAATGTGAAGGGAAAAAGCTGCTGAGTGAATCTTTAATATGTGACTGAAAATCGAAAAAAGTTTGTTCATAGGATACATAGAAAAGGCGTGGCAGCAAGTTGTCATTCTGATCATAGTGGGGGTGAAAGATGTATATATAATTTTCATCATTTTAAAATCACCTTAGAGTTTTGAAACCGTAGTAAGCACTTATTCTAGCAAGGGTGATCACAAAGTGCATTTGTAAAATGCCTTTCAATACCATGTGATGACGCAACCTGAAATCGCTACAGAAGATTTTAGTTTGCACGAAGTAGCCAGTAATATGAAAGTGCCAAAAAAAGAAACATTATTAACAGTGTATATACCATGGTTTGCTACTTATACCCCCCTTTCTACTGCATCCGTCAATGAAAGGGTTGCCGTTTTAGTTTGCTTGTGTTATGCATGTGTCATGCAAACATTATAAACAGTGTATATACAATGATTTGCTTCTTATACCCCCCTTTCTACTGCATCCGTCGTTTTTTGTTTGCTGGTGTAATGTATGTGTCATGCTGTAGTGAAATTGATATCAGATGGAAACACGACTAGTAGAAGGGAAAAGTCAATTTTGGCTCTGACCACAAAAACATCGAGTCATTCATAAGGGTGTTGTAAGACCTCGCATCAACGCCGGTGGAGTTCCTCGGCCTCCTGCAACGACTTCACAATGACAGAATTGTGAGGGTTAATTTTCGTATTTTATCGGTGAGTCCATTTTTTCCCATCACATGGCCATCGTGAAGGCATCTTGTCAAATATTGTACTCTTTTTTTAGAGTGGTAATCGGTGCCTTCTGATAATCTTTCGCCCCAAGAAGACGATAAAGAGACAAGAAGTTGGCCGAGTATCTAATACTGCAACACCACAACGTGTAGACATGCAATGGCATCGTTTAACCACCTCTTTTTATTGCACGATGCCAACTGGATGGTTTCACGGTTTCGGCGACGCCAAATTTGAGTAGCTTAGGTGTTTTACATGTGTCATAGTTACGTGGGCATGAAAAAAAAAAAGGCTCGTAGCGTTTTTCTCAGTCAGCCCTGGGTAACTCCGACACAGTTCTGTCGTGTGTAACTCTGAGCAGCATTTGTGTATCCCTGTGAGTATAGTAGACCCATAAACTACTATAAAACCCGCGTCGTGTTAGGGTAACTTCGTATTCGTATTAGGTATATAGGCCTACCTTTGATCGACCTTTGGGTATAGTAGGCCTACTTGTTTCGACCGTTGATTGGCTTGGGACCAAATTCGTGCGATATTCAAAACTTATATTATTATATCCATCTGTTGTCAATTTTGAGACAGTGTGAGAGAAACTTTCGGGAAATTCGGTTATTAGGCAGCCAAGAAGTGACCCAAATTTAAACTGAATCTGAGTCTGTATACTTTATACTAATTTTTGATTCAGTTACATGTAACCCTGTAAATCATTTATTTTCCTTGGCAGAGGTCTGCGCCTTATGTTGGAGTGCTCTGTTGTTGGTGTATATATGTTTGTGTTTCACAAAGAACAATTGGCATTAAAAGTGTGATAGCAATAGCAAATATAAAAGCCCATTGAACAAGAATCTCTTTACTCATCAGAACATGCTTCAAACTGGAAATTACAAGCACTCCAGTGGATCATATATTCTCTTACAAATGTCACAGGTACATGTATATGGGGGTTGAAGCATGACGTCATGAGCAGCTATTGAACCCGACTGGGCGGCAAAAGAAGTCCGTTGTAGGCATGGGAAATATACCATTGTACAACCGTGACTGTGTGAAATGGTTTTTTGGATTCCTGCCAATATTTCAAGGCGCAGACAACGACAACGCATTTATTTACCCTGGTATCATAGAAAAGACTGTTTAGGTACAAACCCTAACATATAAATACTTAATGCAATTAGAAGGGTGAAATAACACTATGATGTATTGACTGAGTCCGGCCACTCCAAGCTGCTAGTGACGCATGCGCAACCTTATACTACTTATTACGTGTAGCATGTGCTTGTACCTCTGTGGTGACTGAGTGGAGTAAGAATTGAAATGAAACGATGTGCATTCCATTTTAAGTAGATGTGTGTATTCCATTGTAAGCAGATGTCTGTAACAAAAAGAAAAAGGGATGCAAACATTTGTTTTTGAGTGATTATTCTAATAAATGGGGCTTTCAAAAATAGAAATGCTTTATTCTTTTGACAGCTGGTTCATGTGCAAAATATTCTAATATTCTATTTAATGCAGAATAATGTAACATTCAAACCTATTTCGAACTCGTTTCCGGTAAATGTGACTGCACTCAAATGCCATATCAGCCTTTTCTGTTCTTTTTAACAAATTAAGTTTCGAAATCAACTTTTGTGAGGCCATTGGTAAACATTTTAGACAAAGTTCATACGTTTTTTTTTTGTACTTTGTGGTCACCATTTGTCATTTGAAACGTCATTTTCGTTAAAACAAAATCTGAGCATTGTTCAATCAATCTACTTTCTTTCTGAATTCAAGCATGTAACTGCCCAGAAAATGATTTTTAAACAAGCGAATTATTGTGAATTTATGCCAAGAGATTGCCAGTTTCACAAATAGATAAATAATCAATAAAAATGCATGCCTTGGTTCAAAACAGTAATCTAAAGTAGATTAAAGTCTCTGTCTAATCATTGGGACTTATTTTAGGACTAAATTTTGTGACTAAAGTCTCGGATATAACAATATTATAAAATTAAAATTATATCTTTTATCATATATAAGTAACAACAATATTGTGATAAATAAAACTGATAAACATAAATAGCAGTATTCTTTTATGTAAGTCAGCAAATGTTGACTATCAACAATGCCGATTTGTTTATTAGAATGCGCACACACACATACACACGAATTCGAATATTTCAGCATAGGACTAGCTTTTTACCTTTGGTTAAAGCAAAAAATATAACTGACAAAAAGAACAATGCTTTAGAGAAAACTACTTTGGAAACTCTGCAATCAAATGTCATGTGCTATTTAAATAATTTTTAAGTAGAAACCTATCGGCTTTAAATGTATAATAATACATATCTGTAAGCCATTAAGTTAAATGAATTTTCACCCTTCTTCGTCAACTAACATGCTTGTATATGAATTATTCTGAAAAAATAAATATTTACCCTACTGAAGCATTCCCGTGAATGAATCTATGTATAAAAACAGTAAAAGAATTTAGAAAGAAAATGGAATGAATTTATCCCAGTGACGCAGCTTGCCTGCAAACGTTTCCAATTTCCCCCGTATACCTGCCATATTACAGGACGATGGAAATGGGTCCCGCACATCTATATTACAAATTGCACTTGAGAAAGGAGTAGGCTACGGTCATCATGTTAAAAAAACATATCATAAGTAAACTCTTACCGCCCCTCTACTACAGTAAAAGATGAACAGGGAACATGACAGGGCGTGATGACAATATAACCCTAATCATGGACGTCCGCGGGGGGGGGGGGATGTCAGTGGGGACCCACCCCCCTGGAAATTTGGAACTGTATTTTTATTGCGGGTACCCAGCCAGTCATTATCCTCCCTTCAATGACTTTGACTTACCTGGGCATTTTCTGCGGAGGCCAATAACCCTAACTCTTAACCTGTGACAGCCAGAGCGACTGCCATGAGTAACTTTTGGATGAGCAAAGGG